CCCCCCCGCCCCCCCCCCCCACCTCACGCCCGTCCTCTCCGAGGGGGATGGCGGCCTCCCTCTTGGATCTCCCGGCCTCCCGCCCAGCAGGGTCCCCCTTCTCCCCCTTCGTTTTCTCCAACCGGCCTCGCCCCTTTTCCTCCGGTCCAAATGTCTTCCTCTCAGAGGAGCTCCGCGCCAGCCAGCCTGCTGGCTCGCTCTGCCACCCTCCCTGCTTGCCCTGCTCACAGCCACAAGAACCGCACCCCCCCCCTCCATGCGTGCTCATCCAAATACCCCGAGGTCTGCGTCTGTTCGCCGGGGAGCCCAGAGCTCCCCGGACCCACGCGGTGCACCCTCCGCCCGGGTGGTCATGCCATTCCCCCCCCCCCCCCCCTCCAAGCACCACACTTGCCTTCTCGTGAGTTCTCACTTGTAGCCGCCAGCCAATCTCAGGGACCAAGTCTTGGAGATCCAGATCTTGACTTTCCCCCTATCTCTTGCTGCTGGCCTTCCCCCCCCCCCCATTATTATTTATCGGTCTTGCCTGTAACCTGTTTGTGTGCTGGCTGATATAAAGGAAAAGGGTTAGAAGAATTTTCTCCCTTACCGTAGTCACAATCTAGAAGTGAGATTCACCTCCTCCTCCTAACTTTGTTTAATCTTTCAGGTCTATAAATACTGTCATCCAGCCACCTGCCATTCTTTCTGACGATTTTACCTATATTTTAACAATCCTGGACCTCGCTTTCCCGATTATGGTAGTCTTCTCACTCTTCTTTTCCTTAAAATTACACTGTTTCTAGGACTGGAAACTAAAGTGGTGAAAGGGTTATACCTTAGAAAATGATAGATATCTCATTCACCAGGCTGGGACTTGGGCATTACTTCATTCTTGAGAGTAATGTGGCCTAGTGGTTAAGAGTTCAAACTCTGTAGTGTGATTGCCAGATTTCTGCTCTGGCATTTGCCAGCTCTAACTTTTGGCAAGTTGTTTAACTTCTCTGGCCTGTAGTAGTCTTATAAAGTGAGTCTGTTGATAAGCCTCAGAATAGTAGTGATTACACCGGTTGATGAAGGTAAATTGCTTTGAGCAGTGCCTGGCACATGGTTACCTTTTGATAAATGTTACCTTTATTACTACTTTTACTTGTTTCGGTTATTGAAAGGTTAGTTCTTAGTGAAGGGTGGTACCGGAAAGCTGGTTTCTTTTTAATACCTCTTTTGGTACATAGGATATGTATATCCTTATTGCATAGTTGCATTTTCTTCTCAATTGAAAAATACAGTTTAGCCTCAGATATGCTCATTCTTATTTCAGGTATCTATTTGGAACTTCTAAACCTGGATTATAGTTTTGAAAAAGAATGAATTGGAACCATGTGGAAATTTGACAATAATGGATAGTGAACGTTTTACACAAAACAATTTTAGTGCTACAAAACACTTAAAACTTGTGGGAGGGATATTCCTCAAGCCCATTTAGGTTGAATGTTCCATCATTAGATAGAACTTAACTTGTTACACTCATTCATAGTTACATACCTTTGCTTAATTATCAAATGTTATTCACTTAAAATTTTTTCACCATATTTGCTTACATTTTCCTTGATGTCACTTCATATATTCTCAAAATCTAAGTAAAAATCTGAAATCTGTTATTCAAAATGTAAAATATGTAAAAACTGCCCTACATGTAAAATAAGTACATATGTAAGTATTGAAATGGAACTGTTTTCCCGTTTTTAGCACAAAATTATTTTGCACCACTAAAGCAATGTGCTCCATACTGAGTGACACTGCCTTTGAGAAGAGAAGACTCTTCCCTGGCCTTGAACAAAGTAATATCCTTTGCCATCTCATGCCTGTAAAAATAAAATAAAATGCTTCCTGGTTTCCTAGTGTCTCCATTCTGAGTATTGGACTTGGAATAATACAGGCAGCACAATTGGAAGAAAAATGTCTCCCCTAAGAATCTGGCTTTTAAAAGATTATAGAAAACTTTGAAGGAGTAAAGAAAAGTTAACCTAGGCTTTAACATGATTCCTCTGGTTTGTAAAGATTCCAACAATATTTTAAAAACACCTGCTGTGGGCCTTGTATTAGGGATACCTGAGGGCCTTCTGTGATCCCATGGAAAATCAGTCCTAATACTCTTAAGTTATTCAAGGTGTGTAATGAATGACTTCATCTCTTGAGCACCTTTAATGGTACTCCTTATATACTGTTCTTGAGAGAACTGAATAGTCAACATAAATCAGTCTTTGTAGGCCTTAATACCTACAGAGCCCTGGTTGGAGAAAATTGTCAAATAATAATGTTAATAATGTGACCTCTGCATTTTTCTTTTTCAACTTATATTCTAGTATGCACTGGCAGTAAACAAAGTAGATACAATTTGAGAGGATTGGCAATGTTATTAATGATAACACGATAGCTCATATTTATAAAACACTGCTAAGCACTGTCTCAGGATATTTATATATTAACTTATTTAAACTCAGTGAGCCTGTTTGTTTCTTTGACAGTAGTGAGGTTTTGAACTTGGGGCCTTGTGCTTGCCACAGGCTCTCTGCTGCTGAGCGGTGCCTCTAACCTGTAGACTCTGTGGTCTTCAATGCAGATTTTATTATCTCCATTTTTCACAGGAGGAACTTGAAACATTCCTCAACTTCCACAAAATGGTACAGTTCAGTGAGCAAAGCAGTGGGCAGAATGACTCCCGAGTCTGTTTCTCACTCTTTTGGGCTTTCTCACTTGTCACTTCCTTGTGATTACTTTAGATAAGATTCTGTATGTTTATGAGAAACTTACTTTTTATAATTTAATATCAACCCTTGAATTTCCTTATCTCTTTTAGGTTGTGTAGAGAAAGAAAAAATGAACTTTTGTAAAACACTTGGTACCCAGTTTTATCTCAAGCTTTATACATGACCAGATATTGTAGACATGTATATTGGGTGGTCTATTCGTCGTTTTGTTTCCTAGTTTGGATTTGCTTTCTTAGCAAAAGTTTATTAAACAGCTCATCTGTGCCAGACACTCTGCTAGACGATGGTGACACATTAATGGTAAAATGGTACCTGTATTTATGTAGACAGAACTCAGCTGGGGCATAAAAAAACCAAACAAAACATTACAAAAATAATATTTAGATATAACTGCCCCAGTGGAAAATGATTGTAAACAGTGAAGCCCACTAATCCATTAAGGAATGGTTCTCTGTAGAAGTGACTTTTAGTCTGAAATGTAGAGTGAACTGTAGTAACACAGTGATGTTGGTTATTTCACCTTTCTGAAACTGTGGACCTTAGCATGTTAGAGTAGTTTTATGGGAAGTGAGACCAGAGTAGATCACAACGGCCAATATCCATGCTAAGCATTTTGTATTTTTAAGCCTAAGAGCAAAAGCAAGTCAGTAGAGAATGTTAAGCTACTCAATAAATTACTCAGAATTTCTTTTTTGCTTTAAAAATACCATTGGTTGCTAGGTAGAAGGCAAATCGGTAAAAGGCTCATGCAGGGAGAAGAGTTGGGTCCATGCTTCTCAAAGTTACCTGTGATGAAAGACCAGTTTTATTTTCGTTTCTGACTTGTATTGGTGCTTTAGTAACATTCACTAAAATATATGCTTTGGTGTGTCAGATTGATACGTTTCTTAGCCTATGGGCCAATTTATTAGCTTGCAGAACAGACATTGGTATTGAGTTCAGATGTAAGTAAGTTAAAGGGCTGGGGAGATAGCTCAGTGGAACAGCATTTACTTAGTAGCCTTTACAAGAATTCAAGGCTGTGACTTCTATCTCTAGCACCACTTGGGTTTCATCCTTAGCACAATGGAGGATGGAGGGGATGGAGGGAGTAGTTGAGGAATGATGGAACCTTACTTCAGGTTAGCAGTATTGGTGATAAAGAAGCCCAATTTGATAATATTTGGGACCTAAAATTGATTTGTTAATGGATTATATTTGGCAGCCTAAGGAAAAGAGAGGGTGATTCTTATCCCTAAGGTAGGGAATACTGGAGGCAGAGCAGAATTTTAATTAAGTAGTATCAGGAAAGGAGAGGTATTAATGTTTGAAACATTACGCTTGAGAGAGAGAGAGAAATAGATGTCTACAAGTAGTTTCTATATCAAGAAAGATTTGAATTGGAGATGAATTTGGGAATTGTCAGCACATAGTTTAATTAATGCCTTCGAGTAGAGGGTAAGAGTGCTTGGGGAAAAAAAATAGAGGATAAGATGGCTTGAGCCTTGGCCTAATGGTTCTAGAGTACTTACATATTGGGGGGAAAAAAGTAAAAAAGGATACTGAGAAGGAGTAACTAAGAGGTTCAAGGAAAATTTGGATGACATCATTGAAACCAAGGAATAGATTACATGAAAAAGATGGGAATGCCAGTCAGC